TGAGACCCATCCTTCTATCTGCCAAGTTAACACAAACCTGCTCTGTAACGTCTAATCCTCATCCTGATATTCTCTGCAGGTACTGCCAGGTCACCCACCTTTGCCAGTTACCCACCCAGCTGTAGCAGCTTGGATCGTCAGGCTTCCAGAGGGTCACAACTGCTGATCCTTTTGTTCATTTAAAAAGAGATGCACTGGTGCACTGGCCTGCCATTTTCACCTGGCTCTCTGCAGTGCTAGACTCTAGTGCAGTGGTTCTATCAGATTCCCAGGTGCTGCTGATGCTGCTGGTCGGGGGACCCCACTTCGAGGACCACTCGTCTGCTGCTGGGTTCCCAGCTCTGCTACCTTCTAGCTATGCCACTCTGGGCCACAGGTGCCTCTTCTGTAAAACTGGGATAATCGTAGTCCCTACCTCCTAGGTAACCCTGGAGTTAACACATGTAAATTATGTGCCTGGTGCATAGTAAGTGCTCAATAAAAGGCACTATTATTAGTATAGCTAAAAAAGCAGCATTTCCAGGTTTCAGTCCAGGATTTCACACGGCTTTGTGTCTGTGAGGATGTCTTCTCACCTCAGTGTTCCCATCTGTACTAGGGGGGTGATGATAACCCACTCTACATTCCACAAAGGGCTTTCTGAGGGTCATGTGGCATCTGTGTGAGTGCACTTTGTAAATGGTAAGCACTGTACAAACACTTGCAGCGAGGTGTTGTGGGAGTAAGGTGCACTTGAAGTCAGAGACCTGGCCTGAAATAGGTGAAGTAGGCACGTCTCTGCCTCTTTGAGCCTCGGTTTCCCCATCTCTATAATGAGGGAAATACCGGTGAGGGCCTCGGAGGAGCTGGGAGATGTCCTGAGAACCCCTTGCCTGAAGTCAGTGCCTCACTCTCACCCTCACCTAGTACCAGAATCTAACCAGCTACTTAAGGGCAGTGCTGGTGCCTGGGCCTTGCCAGCTTGAAGCCTCGGCGGGCTCACGCTCTGGCCAGTGCCCCCTCACAGACCCCAGAAGCCCCGGCTCACGGGGTCCTGATGAGGATGAACAAGAGAAAAGGTGGGGTGTCCTGCCAAAGCCCACACGGGGAGGCCCTCAGTCAATATTCCTCTCCTGGCAGAGGTGCTGTCAGCCCCTCCCAGGCTGCCTCCAAATATATTGCCTCTGGGAGCCATCAACTCTGGAAGTGAATTCCTTGCAGCCATAAGAGGTTTCACAGCAACTTCATTCTCCAGGAGAGAGGAGGGGAGGGGGCAGTCAGAGGCCTGTTTAATTTAATTTAGCATAGGTGGCTTGCCAGGTTGCCCCTGGTAACAGCTTCAGCTGCTGCTTCAGTTACAACTAGAAGGATTTTTAAAGAGACAGCCCATTTTAAGACCAGAATTGCACAGCAAAATGAATGGACTCTCTCTACTAGCTCCATCACAGGGATGGAGGATTGGAACCCAAGCACAGTGAGGCTTCAAACGAGGTCTGTTTATACCGTTAACTCCATTCCTGATTCGCAACCCCATAAGCCCTCCTGCAAATGTTACTTTTTTTTTTTTTTTTTTTTTTGCGGTATGTGGGCCTCTCACTGTCGTGGCCTCTCCCGCCACGGAGCACAGGCTCCGGACGCGCAGGCTCAGCGGCCATGACTCACGGGCCCAGCCGCTCCACGGCACGTGGGATCCTCCCAGACCGGGGCACGAACCCGTGTCCCCTGCATCGGCAGGCAGACTCTCAACCACTGTGCCACCAGGGAAGCCCTGCAAATGTTACTCTTAAGTGGGATCTGAGGAGGAGCTACATTTGGGATTTGTCATAGAGATGTCACTCAGCTAGCTACTTCTCTGAAAATCAGTTTTAGTCTTCAAGTAGAAGGGGAGTTAACCTTTAGGAGTTGCCCCTGCAATTCAGGCACTCTGCCACCAGGTGGTAGTATTGCTTACTTAGTGCAAACCATAACCAGGCTTGACTTACTCAAGACTATCACAATGGTGGTGAAACCACTGGGTTTTAAGTCCTGATACTAACCAGTGTGTGACCCTGAGCAAGCTGCTTCACCTCTGTGGTCTCACTGTTCTCAGAGACATAATAAGGGGATTGATTGGATCAAGATAACTGAGTGCTGTGGACAGGCTTCGGGCTAGGACTAGGAAGGCGTGAGTTTATGTCCCAACTCTGTCATGTACTAACCGTGTGATGTGGACACATAACTTAATTTCTTGCATCTTGAATATCAAACAAGAAAGTGGCTATGAACCAGGGAGAGCCCTGAGGACAACACACTGCTCTTCAACACTGGGGACCTGTGGACCCCACGGGGCATGTGAGGCCCTAGGAGCAGAGTGGTGGGGTAGAGAGGTGGAGAGTGGGGTGAGGCAGGATAGCCCCGGACTTCAGAGCCTGAGACTTCGATGCCCCACCTAGAACCGAAATAAGGCAAAGCAGCCTCCTAGACACGCCTAATTCTGCGCATTTCTAACCCAAACCAGGAGAAAGGGGGCGAACGTTTATGGGGATTTATGGGCACGGTCCCCAGGCTGGTCACTGCCTCACAATGCCCCTTTGCAGTTAAGGACACAGCCTCTGAGGGGTCACCCGCCCTCTTGTGGCCAGACCTGTTGGCCACCCGAGCCTCTGCTCTCTGCACTGTAGCCCTCCCTTAGTCTAGGATACCTGCTGTCACTTGTGGTCACATCTCCTTGTCAGGAGCCTGAAAGGGGGAGCAAGTTCTGTGTCTCCCCACCATGACTCAGTCTGGCCAACCTCAAAGCAGGCATGGGGCCAGAGGTCACGAGATCACAGCCACAGGCAACCAGGGAGACTGAGGCACACGTGCCTTTGGTCCTTCACACAGACAGGTGCTGACATTATATCAAGGTCCTTGGCCAGCTTGGCCCACAGTAGGTGCCCCACGTATCTGCATCCCCTTCCCATGTCCCAGGTCCCGTGCAGGTGCAGCAGGTAAGGTCATCTGGCAGCCCCTCCATCTTTTTGCTTTGGCCAGTGTTCTCCATTGCACTCTCAAGGATGCCCTTTAATCCTTGGGTCCCGCCCCTCTCCCCTCCAGACAGCCCTGTTCCCAGCCGAGCCTGCATACACGTATTCCAACCTAAGTAACAGGATAACTCCCCACTTCTAACCCCTTCTATGCCTCCCCACTGCCTTGCAGATGACTTCCAGGTCCTGAGCCTGACACTCAGGGGACCCTCCTGATGTTCCCCTGCTGGCTCATCCCCTCGCCCCTTACAACTGGGGTTCTAGCCGCTCTGGGCTGCATGCAGCCCCCGACACACCTGCTCGCTCATCTCTGAGGTTTTGCACATGATGTGCCCTCCATCTGACGCCCTCTCTCACTGTATCCACCTGGTTGGTTCCTACTTGTCCCTGAGAACCCTGCTCCAGCACGTCCTCCTCTAGAAGTCTTGGGGGTACCCCTGGATCATGTAGGAAACCTCCTCCCATAGCCCCTGGTGTTCCTTCTGCTCTAATTTTGTCTTTGGTCTGGCTTTCCTGCCAGACCTGGCTTGGGTCAGCATTCAAGACACTCCCCTATGGGCAATCACACTGTTCACTGAGATCAACTCACAGGTCCCCCTTCCTCTCTTCCTCCGAACCATCCAAGGCCACCTCAGAGCAGTCGCAGCCTAACTTGGCAACATTAGCTCCCACCACACCCCAGTCATACTCACCGTGCCCCATGCTCCCCAGCTGCCCACTCGTGTCCATGCTGAACACCCCGTCTGGAATGCCCTTGTCCCCCACCTCACCCTCTCAAATACCACTGCTATTCAAGACCCACCTTACAGCCCATCCTCTATGAGACCTTCTCAGAGTCTTCTGGCTGGAAGTGGCCTCTTCATCCTTCTGCATTTGTCTGCATCCCCCTCTCAGCCTTGATCAAACCCTGCTTCATATTATAGCTATTGGTAAGCCAGTGTAATGAGGGGAGCAAGGGCTTTGGAGACTAACAAATGGGGTTCAAATCCCAGCTCTGACACTTGCATGCTGTGTGACCTTGGGCAAGTCACTTTGCCTCTCTGAACTTCAGTATGTGCCTCTGTAAAATGGGATGACACCTACCTCATAGGTTGTTGTGAGATTGAGATGATGAGTGTCAGGATCCTGGCATGTGGCAGGCGCTCCTTCAAACCCCATTATTTATGGTCTCCCCAACTGAGTTGTGAGCCCATGTGGGCCAGGGTGCAGGTCCCATTCAGTGCCACAGCTCCACAGCACCCAACATGTCATAGTTGGGCCTCACACCACAGATGCCTCACACCATAGAAATGCTGGCTGGACTTAATGCTTCATCCTAGCTGCTGAGGGTGGGCTGGAGGGATAATAGGGGCCCTGAGCTGAGAAGGCCTCTGCGGATGGCGGCTGGTGAGTGCAGAATGGAGCCTGGAGATCAACCACAGGAGATGAATGTGGAGGGAGGGGCTGGAGCCTGAGGCAGAGCTGCTGATATGCACTGGGGGTTTTATTGGTTTTCATTAAAATTCCTTCCCAAGGCAGAAGCAGCTACTCCCATAAATATTTTATCTGGTGCCCAAGTCAGTCTAAATGCACAGCAAAGTTGGCAAGAAAAACAATGGGAAAACAGTTCAGGGTGGGGTCCTGGGCTTCAGCTGAACTCACTCACATGCCCAAAGGGGCTTTCTCAGGAAGGTGGAAGCTGAGGGATGGCGCCAAAGGGGAGAAGCAGGGGGAGAGAGAAGGTGACTGGTGGAGTGTGGGCCCTGCGGTAGTGGGGAGGGAAGGAAATGGACGCCACACCCTCTCTGTGATGGACACCTTGCTCGGGGCATTCACACAGGTCATCTTGTCAAATCCTCTGTGGTCACAGAAGTGAAGTGACTCGCCCAAGGTCACCCAGCCAGCCAGTGGCAGAGCCAGCACTATGACCAAGAGTGTACTTGCTGCTTCTCAGGGTTCAGGGAAAGCATGGGAGTCTATGAACAATGTCCCAAATGCTTCAAGAGCAGCAGCACAAGCCATTCTCTGCTTCCCTAGATCCCGAACGAGGAAAAAAGGGGCTGGTACTTCACCATGGCAACGCTCTTCATCAGGTCAGGCTATGGGTTGAGGATGGGATGGTGGGGAGGGATGGGGAGAGGTGGGGCCTGGAAGCCAGGGGAGAAATGGCTGAGCCCATCTGTGTGGCAAGGGCTCCCCGAGTTCCTCTCCCTGCCCACTGGCCGGGGGAGGACTCGCGGCACCCTGGGGACGGCTGGAAGGGTGCTGACCAGCCGCGTCCCCTTCTCTGCCACAGGTTAGATGGCATCTTCCTGGAGCTGGGCAGCGAGGAGCAGAAGAGGTTGCCGACCTTCAACCGCACGCTGGCCCTGCTCCGGCAAGTCCTCAAGTCGTCGGAACCCCACCACCAAGGCAGGACCCGTGGGGACGGGTGGGAGAGGAGCCTCTGCCCCGTCCTCCCTGCACCCGCCACCAGCCCTGCCAGTCTTGTCACTGTCCCCACCTCTAGCACTGTTTCGCTGTCCCTCACCCTCTGTCTCATCCACTCCCTTGTTCACCTCAGGGAGCTCGCACACCTCGCACAGGTGAACGGGCGCCTGCAGATCACTCCAGGTGCACGTGTCCAGGCCTGTCTGTGACCGAAAGTGTAAGAGACAGAGTTCTCGCCACTGCAGCCTCTTATCCCCATTTTGTGGTGGGAGGAGGGAAGGCTGTTCTGGAGGGGAGTCGAGTCATTTTTCCACAGGGACCAGAGCTCCAGAGCTGGGGAGAGCTGGAGTCAGAGAGCAGGGTGTCCCGCGTGACACAGTAAACACAACAAACACTGAAACTGTTCATCCCTCCACTCACACGTCCCTCTCCCCACCCTTGTTTCTCTCGGTCCCTGGCTGGCCCACAGTGATTTCATGCCACTTCCCCTCCCTTTGTCTTCCTGGGTGCTGACACCTGGGGTGGCCCCCTGCCTCCTCGTGGCTCCCCTCCCTCTCTCCACCCCGCTGTTGCCTGAGACCCCTCTCCTGGCCTCACCCCCAGCTCTGGCCTGGTGCTACCTCGGGATGCTGCTGGAGAGGAAGGACACCTTCTCCATCACCCCCATGGGCATCCATGACTGCGGGTTTTCAGGGACCGACCCCCTGGACTGCTTTGGCAAGGTATGTGTCCCTGGCCACAGAAGCTCTCCGAACCCAGATTGAGACTGACACCTCAGCCTCCTCTCCTGGAACCCGCTGCTTCTCTGGGTGTCATCCCCACCTCCCTGCCTTACTCAGGAAGTGCCCTTACTCCAGACCTTTCTCTCCATCCCAAACAAAGCCAAAGTGCTCCCTTGTCCTCTTGGCCTATGAGTCAGACCCTCTCCACTTCTCTAGGCCTGTCTTCTAAGCTAGTCACTATTTCCCAGATATACCCTCAGGCCTTTCCCCTTCACACCCCCGGGGAGCAAAGTGGAAAGAAGACGAGGTTAGCTGGGGTCTGGATGCCAGCTCTGTCCATAGGCCCTGTGACCCTAAAACAAGTCACTTCCATCTCTGAACCTCCTTATCTGTTAATTATGTGATCTGTCCACCATCTAGGATATTGAGAGACTGAAAAGAGGTAGTGGATGAAACCGTTCACTGTAAACCGTAAAGTGCTGTTCAAGCCTTATTCTTGGCACCTCGTTTCTGTGGCAGTTTCCACACTTAGCTCAGTTTTTGAAGACTTTCCTGGAGGCCAGGGACCCTGTGATTTTCGTTCCCCTTGCAGTCAGCACGACGCTCTGGCCGGGGCACGTTCCTAGCATTTGCTGGTCAGTAATGAGCAATTTCTTGGTGAGAGATCTTAGTGAGAGCAGAGCATAAACACTGGTTCACGTGTGTTCCGAGAGTTGTGTCCAATTTAACGCACTGCCTTTGCCCCTCCTTGGGAACCTACTCTGTGCGGGGCACAGAGGTGGACAGATGGGGCCCCTGCCCTGCAGTTCACCATCTCAGGGGCAGCAACAAACACAAGGCAGGCAGCTGTCAGTAACAATATTGGGGTGGTGGCGGGGGCAGTGCTGTGCCCAGCCAGAAACACTGTGTGAGTCTGGGGGAGATAAGGGTGATTCTGGCCCCTCCCCCTACCTGCCCCAGGAAAATGGGGGAGCACACAGCGACGTGTCTGAGGAAGAGGGGTTTGCCTGGGGTCTGGAGGGATTCACTGGACGTGTCCCGTGAACATGGCAGAGAGCATGTCAGCGAGTCGGGCTCTCAGGAGTTGAGTGCCAGTGAGCTGTGCCCAAAGTGTTGGGTCCCACGATGTGGTGGATATGAGGAATAAGATCTTTGGGGTAATATGGCTCTACTGAGAGAAGGGGTTCCAGTTCTGGCAAACAGCCAGACGAATGGTTTGTTCTTACCTCCTCCCTTACCCAGGCCATTGAGATTGCCAAGGACCAACCCCCCATCCTGAATCACCTGGCCAAAATCTTCCACTTCCTCGGAAAGCAGGATATGGCCATGGGTACCTGCAACATGGCCCTGGACACCCTACACGATCCGGAGCTCAACTGGCAGGCGTTCTGCACAAGGGCCAAGGTGAGTCTGCCCGCAGCTCCACCCCGTCCTGCCATCCAGAATCAGAGAACGACGGCCAAGACCCTGTGGCCAGAGCCCGGAGGTCGGGGAGCCTTCACGGTGGAAGGGAGCTTAGGTGTCATCAAGGCTCACAGTTTGTGTTCTCTAAGATTGTTGAGTGAGAGAATGAAGGAGCTTCCCACCCACTGCTCATCCCTTCTGTAATGACCTGGCCAACAACCTGCCAGCCTCCTCTTTGATTAGAACCTTCGGCAGTCATACTGACCTGGGTGGAATTCGGGCCTCTCCACTCATCACTGTGGGACTTGGGGCAAGCCACTTACCCCTCCAAACCTCCATTCCCCAATCTGGAAGATACGGACAATAACATCTATCTTAAAAGGTGGTCAGAAGACTAAGTGAAATAACATCTAAAGCAGGTGCCTGGAGCATGGGAGGTGCTTGGGAAAGGCAGAGGGTATATTGGAGGAGGTCTGATGTCGTAGATCAGAGCTCTGGCTCTCAACGCCGCTGGCCTCGGTTCAAATCCCACAGCACCGCTTACGCGCTACGGGACTGTAGACAGAATACTCTTGCCCAAAGTCTGAGCCCCAGTTTCTTCTTCTACAGACTGGAGGTGATTGTACCTGCCTCACAGAGTTGTTATGAGAATTAAATTAGACTCTTGTGTAAAACTCAGTACTGACCACATAGTAAGAGTTCATAAGTGGTTGAGCAGTATTATTAGGTATGTTTTTAACTGGCTCCCTGTCGCTTGAGGCAGTCCACTATGGTCACTGAGCTCAGCAGATTACTCATTTAACTGAGAGCTGCCTGCCTCTGGCTTCCCCCTACTGGTCCCAGATCTGCCCTCTGGAGCCCCTACAGAACCCATCTGCTTGTGGGCAAAGAGCTGGAGCTCTGAGTTCACTTTGCTCCAGGCTGGACAGCCTCCTCCACTACCTTTCATGGGACATGATGGCGAATCTGCTCCCTTGGTCTTGGTCTGCATGACATAATCATTTTACCAGCAGGTACTAGACAGTCAGTTCCTTCATGGCAGTTGATGCGGTCATTATCAATAGTAGTGATATTACTCATGATTGATAGTAAATAATAACACCTTTCTATAACACTCTGCATTTCACCCAGCACTTTCATATTCATGGCCTGATTGAATTCTTGCAAGATTCTGTGAGAGGCCAAACGTGTGTCATTTTACTAATGAGGCAACAGAGCGGCAGTGACCTTCAAGGGGTCCTGCGTTCCGTTAGGGGAAATCCAAACCTCACTCTTCTCACGCCATCACAGGTTGGCCTGTAGCATATGCTCGCTGTCTCCCTGTAGCTCCAAAGATCACACTTACTACTCAGATGACCAGACTGGCACCAGGATGGAGGCAGGGCATAGTGAGGAGGAAGGAACAGAAGGGAAGGGAACTCATCTGTGTAAAAGCCTCAGTCCCTGCTGTGAGCCTAAGGCCCTACCTGGCCCATGACCTTGACCCACCCCGGCTCAGCTCCCTCCCTCCCAGCCACACTGGGGTCCTTGCAGCTCCTGAGGCATGATCTTGCCTCAGGGCCTCTGCCTAGAATGCTCTTCTCCCAAATATCCAGTTGGCTTCCTCCCTCACTTCCCGGAGGGCTTGAAGAAAAGGCGGAGCTGCTAGCAGCCGTCTTCTTGAAAATGTCAGCTTCTCACCAACACTTTGTGTCCTCCTGTCTTTGTTTGTTTTTCCTTTTTAGCACTTATCACTCCCTAACACACTATTTGCTGATTTATCATGTTTACTGTCTCTCCCCCCAGCTGTAATACACGCTCCAGGAGGGCAGGGAATTTTGTCATTTTGTTCTCTACTATATATCCTCAGCTCCTGGAACGGAGCAGGCTCTTGATGAATATTTGTTGAAAGAATGTATGAATGAACTGAGCACCTACCGTGTGCTAGGTCCTGGCTAGAACATATTCTCTCCATTGTCATGGTAACTCTCCAAGGAAGATCTTAGTGTACTGATTTTTCAGATGTGGAAAATGAGCCTCACAGAGGTCATGCTAATAAAGAGGGGGAGGGGCTGGAATTCAGCCAAGTTCAATTGGCTCCAAAGGCAGGGCTTCCCACTCCCACCCCACCCCCACCTCATGAAGCAGTCTTAGAACCAGAGCCCACCAATGGCTATAAAGCATTAATACCTTCAACGACAATGACCCCCTTTTTCTTACTTCCTCCTTCTCCACCCCTTCCCTACCCCTCCTGAGCCTCTAGATTTTCTAAATGCTCCAAATAGATGTGGGGAAAAAGGGAGGAAGTGGTGATGAAAGCAAGGGTCTGGAATCATTTGTAATTTGATGCTTGTAAGCTGGGCCACCTGCCATTCTTCCCACACTACTTGCTTACACAGACTCTCACATCCCATCTCAAACAACCCCCTCCCCTAGTCACCTCTATCCCATCAGCCTGTTTATTTTTCATACCACTTGTCACCACTTGAAGTGGTACCATGTACTTTTTTATGATCATCTCCCCTACTAGAATGTTCTGCCAGGGCAGGGACCTCCTCTCTTATCAGCACTGTACCCCAGTACCTAGCACAGGGCCTGGCATATGGTGGCCACTCGATACATATTTGTTGAATGAATGAGTGAATGAATGAATGGCTCTTACTTCATCCAACGCCCTTCATTGTACAGAGAGGGGTCAGAGGCCCAGAAAGTGGAGTGGCTAGCCCAAGCTGGCCCAGGAGTAGGACCTCGGACTCCCGAGTCCAGTCACAGGGGCTTTCCACGGCACCACAGAACCTCCCTGAGTTGCTGTTAAGAAAAAACACTTATTTAGGATAGAAAAGAGGGCAAGGGTCCTTGCCTGAGCATCTTCCCTGAGCTGACTCTCTGTGGGCAGATCCACGTCAGAGCCTACCTGCATGACCTGGAGCGAAGCAAGATGGGGCTCGGGGGCATGCCTGACAGGAACCACCTGGCCTGCGCCAAGGCTGACCTCGAGGAGGTGGTCAAGGTGTGCCCAGGCCTCAAGACCTACCTGAACATCGGCCAGGTAAGGTAGCCTCTTGGCTAGGGTAGCCAATAGCTGACTAAAAACCTACTAACTCTCTGCCAGGCCAGGCCTGGGCACTGAGGACACAGGGAGGAACGCGGGGCATCCCCAGGCCTGATAACAGTACCTGCCTCCTACTGCATTGGTGAGGATGATAGGAGATGATGCACCTACAGCGTTCAGAACAGGGCCCAGTGCTTTCTAAGCACTCAGAAAGTGTGGGCCATTATTCTGTATCCTTCTGTGCCTTCTGTGAGCACGGAATGACTACCAGAGGTTACAATATCTTATATATGAGAACACTGAGGCCCAGAGATTGCCCCGCTCAAGGTTATATGGCCGAGAGCGCTGGGGCTGGAACTGGAATCAGAGTACTGTCTCCTTTGCCAGGAGAGGGGCACCCAAATTTGAGATGAATAATTGTCGAGGGAGGGAGGGTGGGAATGAATGCGTGGAATTTTTAAAACAGCAAGTGTGGGAATGGAATGAACGGGCAGCGGCGACGGCAGGGGAGAAAGGCTCACCCCGAAGCCCCCACCCCAGGTCTACTACTACATGGGCGTGGACGCTGTGCAGGAGCAGCTGGCGGTGGACGAGGCGGCGCTGAACCAGGCGCTGGTCTTCCTGGCCAAGGCCGGCGAGTCGGAGCTGGGCGCCACGCTGCCCGAGCTGCAGCTGTTGCGCGGCAAGTGCCTGCGCATCAAAGGCGAGGAGGCCAACGCGGCGGCCTGTTTCAAGCGCGCCGTGGAGCTGGACGACGCGGGCTCCAGCCACACCGAGGGCTTCGGCTGCCTGCTCGAGGCGCTGCTGGCGCAGTGGAGCCAGGCGCAGCTCAGCGACGGCGAGCTGGGCAGCGAGGTGGACGCGTGGCTGCGCTGCGCCCAGGACAAGTACCCGGCGGCGCGCCTGCGCCAGGAGCTGCAGCGCGTGTGGCGCGGCCACACGGGCGAGGTGCTGGGGCTGGCCCGGGCCTTAGTGGCCCAGGGACGGCCGGCGCTGGTGCGGCTCCTCTTCGAGACCATGCAGCGCGAGGGCACGGGCCCACGGAGGGGCCGCCGCGCGTTCTCCTTCGAAGGTCCCTGAGGCCCCGCCCCGTTGAGGCCCCGCCTATAAGTGATTGGACCTGGTCGGGGCGCTGCACATCGGCTTTCACTGCCGTAAGCTGGCGGGTTCGGGGAGCCGTCAGATTCTCTTTCGGGAATTGGAATGGAAACGTTAGGACCCTAGGACGGTTTGACGTGCCTACGGAGGCAAAAGGGCCTGATTCAGCTGGGGCAGACGCGAGGGGCCACTGGGAAACTGAATTGAAGGACCAAATTGTACAAATATGCAGAAAAAATAATATGGAGCCTCCCAAGAGATACAGAAGATAATTGCCTCCATTTTGGTGGCTTTCTAGTACCCAAGAGCCTGTCTTTGGATTCCGTGAGCCACGCTCTATCCTTATAATAAGGCCCCCTTTGCTTAGGTTGACTGGAGTAGGTCTCAGGTCCTGCCTCCAGGGAAGCCGTGGCTAGAGAAGAGGGCACAGCTGCTAAGGAGCAAGTAAGGGAAGGGCGGTAGTCTACACCTGGCTGCTCAGGGCTCTTTCCTGCCTCTCTAGCAGCCTTGCAGCAGGCCTCATCCTTGGCCAGCTTGGTCTGAAAGGCCCTCAAACTCCCTGAAATAAAGCCCATCAGTAGTACCTTTGCTTGGCTTCTCTGTTCTTGGGGGAAAGTAGGGGCACCACCCGAGGAAGTGCCAACTGCCCCCAATCTCAAACCTTCTACAAAAGAGTGAAGAAAATCTTGGAATTTTGGAATCATAGTCATAGACTCTTAGACGTGGAATTTTATTGTCAAAGTACTTAGGCTCTGATTGCCAGCAGAACGTCCAAGCTGGATTCTTGTGGTCCTACTTACTTACAAGAGCTAATTTAACCTAAAATTCCAAATCAAGTTCTTTCCAGACTGCAAGAATGCTGGTTGTACGTAAATGCAATGGCAAGACCCCCTTCATGGTTTGTGATTTATTTTGCACTTTTCCCCTTTAAAAAAAAAAAAGTTATACTCACTGCTTTGTTCATTTTCCTGATGCTCAGACTGTACCCAGGATAGGCCAGCACCCCTGCATCGTTTCTCATGTCCCCAGTGACAGATGGAGAACAGACCGAAAAGTGCAATCCCTAGAGATCACGCGCCCGGATGTCTCATTGTGCACGTGGGAAGACTGAGAGCCCTGGAAGGGAAGTAGCTTGCTCAGAGTCACACTTCCTAGCCTCCCCACCCCTGTCCCTCCAACTTACTCTCAGCATTTTTCAGGTTTGGAAAAATACTAATAAACTGGTAACGCTAAAGCATTAAGTGTTTACGTGTTAAGGGTTTACGTGTCACCTGTCACCTGGGGCACTCTGATATCCATTGGGATGATGCTGTCGTTCCAGGCACCTGTGAAATCCAGACAGTGAGGCCACCCTAAGGCCCTTGAATCCCACCTCAGGGCTCATCGTGGCTCACCACTTCAGGTGGTGACTTTCTTTCCCTCCTTCCTTCCTCTCATCTCCATTGCAGGAGAGTCCAGGAGGTGACTGGACAGCAGGCAGCATACACAGCCCTGTCCACTTCTCCCCCATCCCTTCTCCACCCATGGCTGTGACCTGTGACCTTCCCTAGGACAGGAACCCATCTCTTTCTTCTCCTGCTTCCCCAGACAGACAAACTGAATTCAAGGTGGTTTACTGGCGAAGTTGGGAAGTTGGTGAGGTTTGTCCCTTCCCCAGGCTTCCCAGTTTGTTTCCTTCCTCCCTTTTCCTGTCCTCAAGGTCATGCGTTTCTCCCTCCATTCCTGCCAGACCTTTTCAATAAGCTTCTTTCCGATAATCTCATTCACAGAATCATATAAATGACTTAACAAACACCCACTAGGGCTTCTGTCAGGGGTACTGACAGAAGCCAACAAGAGAAAGGAAACCCCATTTCTGGGACTGCCTCTTGTGTGCGATACACTTCATACATGTAAACTCATGCAGTTTTCTCACCAGCCTTGAAGAGTAGGCATCATGATCCTGGTTACAGATGAGGACATTGAGACACTGAACAAGGTCACACGTAAGCATGGGAAGAACCAGACCTGCCCCGTGTGTGCTGTCTCCTGGGACACAGCCCTTCCTGGGAGATGTGTCATGGGTAGTCTAGAGTTGGGCCTGTGATCCCCAACGCAACCTGTCATTACCCTACTCCCTCCCCACAGTGTACTAGTCTCCCTGCTCGAAAACTGCCTTACCTCTGTGCCTTTGTACATCCCGTTCCTCCACTGGCTTTTTTCCTGTAATTTCTATCCCAAGTGCTAGGCTCAAAGGTGCCTCCTCCAGGAAGTCTTGCCAAATCCTCCAGCTCTCATTAATCACTCCGTTTTGTGCACACTCTCAAGGTATTGTGTCCCTCTGCACTGCTTATATTCCCTTGTCCTTGCGCCATAATGATGTCACCATGTCTGTTGTCCCCATTCAACTCTGGCTCTTTACAGCAAGGACCACGTCTGATTCAGCCCCATGACCCAGCACTGAGCTTGGCACGTAAGACAGGCTCAGTTTTGGTTGTTGAACTGAGTAAATTCACAGTAGGGACGTGGCTACGTCGGTCCCAAACAGGCGACTCCATCACCAGGTCCACAAGGGCTGAGGTTGGGGCCAGGTCTGCCACCTAGGGAACTTTGCAGGCTAGAGCTCAACCGGAGAGCATGGGCTTTCTTTCCACCTCCTCTCCAGCTTTAGACCAAATCCCCAAATCTGAGGCTAGGAAACTGAGGCCCAGGTAGGGAAACTGAGGCAAGAGAGCAGGGACTTGCCCAAGGTCAAGCAATGAATTAGTGACAGATAGAAACTCGAACCCCACCTCCAGCCCCTTGGTCCAGTGTTCTCTGCCCTTGGGGCTGCCTCCTTTGCCAAGCTCACTTCTGTTAAGTCCAGGAAGACCACAGGCCTACCAGTCATTCACTCAGCATTTATCGAGCAACGGCCAGGTGCCAAGCATAGTGCCAAGCTCTGGGGCTACTGTGCAGAACAGAATAGACCCTGCCCGGGCCTTCAGGGAGCTCACAGTCTAGAGCATGCAGAGCAGCTCATGCAGGACCTCGTGGGCCACAGTGGGGACTTTGGAAGACCAATGGGAAGCTCTCGGAGGTTTAAGGTGGCAGAGCTGGCTACTCCACCCTCCACGCTGTTCACACTCATTCTGTGTTAGCGGCCTTTCCCCAGTGCGGAGGAGAGGATGGCTGTCCCTGGGGCTCAGGACGTGTCCTTGGCCACGCCTCTTCAGCAAGCCCCTGCTGAGGCCAGGCCTGGCAGTCCGCCAGGATCGTGGCTCTGGCTGGTTTGATCTTTATTCAATTACAGCTTTGAGTCCTGTGGAACACCCCTGCCTACTGGGCAGCTGGGAGGACAACTCTCTGTCACACAGCTGAAGCAGCAGGAGCTCCTTAGGGTAGCACTGCAGAGTAAAAGCCTTAATGACCCCATAATCGGAGTAATGAAGATGAATCGCACCTTGTGCTGCCTGCCCATTCCTTCCTCTGTGTCTAGCAGCCAACATCAGGTGCTAGAAACTCCTGTTTAGCCAGCATGAACTAGGCATGTTAAAGATCATGAAAACAGGTAAGATTTTTCAGTTATAGGTTTTTAGAATCTCAGTATTGAAAAGAACCTTAATCATCACCTCTTCCAGCCTCTCCATCTAAATCAGAATTCCTCTCAATAGTGAGTGTTCTGAAAGGAGTATCTAAGCCACTTGCATGCCTCTGGCAGACAGGCAGCTCACTACCTATTGATGGAATCAATCCATTTCTTAACAGTCTAAGTTTTCTGAGTTCGTCCTTTTATTGAGCTGAAACCTTCTTTTATGTAATTTCTATGTCTTGATTCAAGTTCACCTTTGCCACATAGAACACAGACCCTAATAAGCAAGGTGACCTTGATCAAGTCACTTTGCTCTGGCTCCATTCTCACTTTATGTTGTGGCACCTCTTACAGTGTTCGAATTGTTCAGAAGGTGGCTGGTACTCTGCCCGCAGCCTGGCTGAACTCTGGCCTGGCCTCTAGCTGCCAGTGCCCACCCTGGAGCCTGCACAGAGCGGGTGCCAGCAGCGGAAAGCAGAACAGAACAGGTCCTCTCCCGTCTCTAATCAGGCCCCGAGGGAGCACCCTGTGTAGATGGTGGTGGCTGGATGCCAAATGAAGTGAAATATCTCCTTTTCTCAGGCTGTTAACGTTTTTTCTTGTTTAAGGAAGGGGAGGATAATGACATTTAGCACTTTACAACTCAGCAGTAAAATGAGCAGATGGAAACAGATCCCCAGCATCATGGGCATGCTTCCAGCAAGAAACCCTCCCCGGCTCTGGCTCTGGTGCCGCGGGGCTGAAGTTACTGGCAAGGTTTGCTGAGGGGGTGAGGGACACCACCTGCTCGCTCCTCCCCCAGGCAGCCTCTCCAGGCTGCACATTGGTAGTACCGGCCCCCACGTGCTGCTTCCCGCCTCTGCTCACCCTGTTCCACTTACCTGAAGGACCTTTCCTACCCCCGGTCTGTTTGGACTCTGACCTCTCTAGTTTGGAGATGAGGACGAGAAGCAGAGGGGGGTGTTCTTGGAGAGAGTGGTGAGCAGAAACTCCTGTGGAGCTGTGGAAAAGCTCCAGGTGGCCTCTAGATGGCCACAGAAGAACAATTTGAGCAGTGAGTATTCCCACAGGGAGGTTAAAAAAAAAAAATCATCATCATTATCATCATCAAAACTATTTACTGAGAACTTGCCGTGGACCAGTCCCTGTGGCCCATGTTTCACACGCCTCACCTCATTTAACCTTCACAAGCCCAGGAGCTATGTATCAGCATTGTCTCCATTTTACAGATGAGGAAACTGAGGCTCAGAGAGGTTCAATAACTTTCCTGAGTTCCTCCCACACTGCCTTGATTTTTAAAAAATATTTAATTTATTTTTGGCTGCGTCGGGTCTTAGTTGTGCAGGCTCTTTGTTGTGGTATGCAGGCTTCTCTCTAGTTGCGGCGCACGGGCTCTCTAGTTGTGGCACGCAGTCTTAGTTGCCCCGTGGCATGTGGGATCTTAGTTCCCTGACCAGGGATCGAACCCACGTCCCCTGCATTGGAAAGTGAATTCTTAATCACTGGACCACCAGGGAAGTCCCCCCCACACACACCCAACACACTGCCTTGAATGGCAGACAGGCTAAAGAGTACTAACGAATGGCTTTTTAACTATTTGGGGTTTAGATTAGTTTCTCTCCTACCACATATGTTGCTCTATAAACTGCACACTTAAAAAATCTGAATGCACTTTTCATATTTATGTTCCCAAACCAGTCTATAGCTCTATGCTGGGGCTTGTTCTATTTTGCATGTAAATTTTTCCATTAAATTGCAGCTCCTCTGTGAGTTTTATTTGTCGTCCACAAAGTAAAAGAAACAAACCTAAGAACCCCTACTGTGGTGGAGAGCTACTGCTTCCATCTGCCCAGTGCCCCTCCCTGCTGGGAATAGAACCTCTCCTTCCTGGGCTACTAAGCACTCCTTCCCCTCTCTGAGTGGTGGCAGAGGGCTGCCAATCATAATACCCCACCCCCTGACTGCAAATGCAGACATGTGATCCAGGTTAGGCCAATCAGAGTCCTTCACAGAAAGTTTTCCAACTGGGTGCAAGGGACAGAAGATGCTCTCTGGGGACTTCCCTGGTGGCGCAGGTTAAGAATCCGCCTGCCAAAGCAGGGGACATGGGTTCGAGCTGCGGTCCGGGAAGATCCGACATGCTGCGGAGCAACTAAGCCTGTGCACCACAACTACTGAGTCTGAGCTCTAGAGCCTGCGAGCCACAACTACTGAGCCTGAGCGCCACAACTACTGAAGCCCGCGCCCCTAGAGCCGGTGCTCCGCAACAAGAGAAGCCACCGCAATGAGAAGACTGCGCACCTCAACCAAGAGTAGCCCCCGCTCGCTGCAACTAGAGAAAGCCTGCACGCAGCAGCAAAGACCCAACGCAGCCAAAGAAAGAAAGAAGGGAAGGAAGAAAGAAGATGCTCTCTGTCTGTCTGTCTACTGGAACAGCTATTAGCGACTGTCCCTGTTAGGATTAGGCTTAGCTGTGGGCATCAAAGACCTGAAAACAGTATCTTAAACAAGGCCAGCTCAAGTATCACCTCAGTGCCCGCCACGCCCCCTCTCTGCTCACCAACCTGGTACCCACTAATGTCATCCTACTGCAAGTTCCTGACACTCTCCACCTGGCTGGAAGTACTGGGTAGCGGACACCCCCGGGAGCAGCCTTCAACCAATGGGGAATGGAAAC